CATTTTATTTTATGGATGTATATTTGAAGTTCGGTTAGAAAAGTTGCAGCAATAACAGACACTAGGGAAACCAATTTAAAAAAAATCACATCATGGGAACCTTACCTGAGTGAAATGCTGTCAGCTTCAGCATAGTCTCCAAAAGTTTCAGTGTCAAACTCTTTATTTTAGATATTTGACACTAGAATCGTAGCCATGTTGTCAGCTAGTGGCAGTGTAGCTTCACTGAACTGAAAGGGATCTTTGCCAACTGACAGCAGTTAAAGAGAGAGTCTTCTGTGTTATAAAAAAAATAGTCTATTTTATGAAGACAGGAGAGTGAGTGGATTAGAGGTTCTCAAACTGTGTCCTGTGATCACTTTCTAAAGGGTCTTGGAAAGCTCTGTGTTAGCTTTATGTTGCCTTGACTTCCAGCTGAATAAATATATCTGAGGCTTCCCTAAAATCTGCATTTTAGTGTAGGCAGCTTTAAAGAGAGAGCCTTTGTGGTCCCCTGTGAGCTAACCAGCAGAGCATTTGCAAAGGAAAATTGTGTCTCACCAATCTCCTGTAATTCCTGTGATACGTTAGTAGAGCAGTGGATGAAGTTGAGCCAGCTAAAATAATTTTCAAAAGGTGTTTGACAGGGTCCTTTATGAGATGCTACAAACATTTCTTAAATCATCATCAGTGGAGAGACAAAATATTATGAATCAAAAAATTGGCTGGGTGAGCACAAGCAAAGAGGACGATTAAACAGTCAATTTTTTTAATGGCCTGATGATAAGTTCTGGTTTTGGCAGCAACTGAACAGCAAGGTAATACATGAGGCTAGACTTTAAATTATACTGGTCTCCCTACTTTTTATTAATTACAATTTTTCTGAATCAGTTCAACCATTCCTGTTATCATTTGTCACACAGCAAGATTGATGGCATTAGATAAATAGCATTGCCTTAAGTCTAGAACGAATACTATTATTTACCACTGCATGGTACTTTTCCTGAAAAATTGCCTACAAGCTAGGGTTAAAAGTCCTAAATAAAATACTTCCAAGCAGTCATTAATCCACAGGAAATGTCTCATTACTTAATTGTTGCTGCAGAAATTGAATTTGGAGCAAGGATATACAAAACTATAGATTTCTTTATTTGAAGGCTTTCCCTTCAGTAAGAAGAAAAGCCAAGTTGGCATGTTGACCAAGATTAACTAGACTTGGACTTTTATAGCTTGTAAAACTGGACATTTATTTATAACCGCTGAAAACTGATTTACTACAGGTGGAGACAAGCACGGTTGTAGAGCGACCTTATTGCAGCTCTACACACGTGACCGAGATGTGCCACTGCCACCACCAAGTAGATGTCACTTCAAAACACCATGGAGGGAACCCTCACAAGGAGAAACGTGTGTTAAAAAAAACAGAGAGGGTCTCAGAGCCACCCCTTGGTTTTGTGCATCTGGCCAAACGAGGAGGAGGGCAGTTGCTGCCATCTCAGACAAGCTGTTCTGCAGCTGGGTACATGTGCTTGTCCACATTAATTTTTAAGCAGTCCTGTCCAGTCCTTTTTTTGATCCAGAAATTTTTGTTTTCCCTGCTTCTGGACCACATATGGCTTCTTAGTACCTCCTTTACTTAACATTGTTCAGAACTTTAAGGTTAACTTAATAAATCTGGATAAATCAGTTGTAAATTAGACTATTATCTTGTAGTGGCTGGAACATTTTCTGGTGCAAGGCATTTCAGGCACTTGTTTTTTGCTCAATTTATGCTAAAAATCCCTGCATTCTTCTCTTTCTGATTTCAAAAATCATTGATATCAATCAGTTTTCTAACAACAACATGAAGGTGCAGAGGATCTTAAGTACATTTAAGTTTTCAGCGATCCATTTGAAACTTTGTTTTCAGTCCAGTGGGTGATTTATGCCAATGCTGCCAATCCCAAACTCCAAAGACAGGCAAGTTCCGCAGCTGAGCGGAAAAGAGAAGCTGTGCACAAAAGTTTATTTTAACAATAAAAGCTCAGTCATTTCTATTTAGTTAGATAGTTGCCTCTTGGGCTTACATTCCAAACATTTCACACCATGTACTAAAAAAGGGTCTTGATATAATCATATGTCACTGCTAGTGCTTTTCATCTGTCTCAAATATCTTCAGACAGCATCTAAAATCACGAGATTTGGTGCACAGGGACATACTCAGGATTTGTTTCTGCGTGACCTTGCAAAGTGTTGGTGCTTGTTGGGCACCTATATCTTTTCTCCTGATTTTTGAGATTCTGTTCTTGGCAGCCAGGAGATTGTGCACATAGTTTAATGTTTCTTTTTTTAAAAAGTATTTACTGCATTTAAATCTTACCATTCCTCAGTGAAGACAACCTATAGTTTGGAATATTGTTCATGTTCTCTGATTTATTTTTTTCTAACTTGATTTCATTTTATAATTGTCTGAATTCCAAAGCATAGTGACAAATGCACCATAAGATTACAACTCAAAATATTATCCTAGTAAATTCACATTCAGATACTAATGATAATGGCAATTATTGACCCTGGCAAATATCAGTGGTCTTCCTAAATCTTTGTGTCAGAAAAGGTTATGTAAAATTGAAATTATGTAGAAAGCTTTATTATATACCACAACTCAAAGTAAAAAGAGAGAAGAGAAGCTAGCCAGGAAAAAAAAAAAAAAAAAAAAAAAGACCATTAATGGTCTTTTCCATTGAAGTGTGGATGAGAAATAATCTTGGGGAAAAGAAGAAATGAAAGATTGTGACATGTCAAAAAAAAAAGGTCACCCTTATTTTTAATTAGCCTTCTGATCCTTTCCCTGGATGAAAGTATCATTGTCAGACTTGAGCAGGCAAGGTGGGAGGGAAGAGCTCTGCTGCTGTAACAGATAGGTTTCTGCATGGCATATAGCAGACTTCTCAGAAGATGTTCCCCTGAAGGTGACAGTGGGGGTCAGCCACTGTACAACCTAAAGGAACTGCTTCTTGGGCAAATGGAAATCGTAAGAACTGAATTGAGTATTTCACAAGTAGGGTAAGTTTAGGTCAAAGCCACCAAACAATCCCAGTCTGGTTGCCCCAATTCTTCAATTGACAGAGGTGATGTAAAGCATTGCCCTTCAGAAGAAAGGGACACATAGTTCATTCCTATCAGCACTTTTGAGTTCAGGACCTCAACTTGTAGTGAAAAACACTTTGACAATGGAGTTTTACCAGAAGAAACACCTTTAGTCTGTATGCACAACGTCCCATTTTCTAGAAAGTAAGTAAATGGCCCTGTAAGGGAAAAGGAGAGAAAAGCAGGTGAGAGAGCAGTACTTTTTTAGATCAGAGCCTTCAGATTAAATGTCCACACTGCAAATCTTCTCTTCATCAATTATTGTCATAAACTCCAACTGTTGTAGTATTTCTAAAGATGTAATTCCTTAATTTTTTTAAAACAAGCACATGTGCCAGGTACTTACAGCAAATGGCAATCTACTTGCCTGTGTTTTTTGTTGCCTGAGTTTAAAGAACTTACTGTATATCAAAATTCCTATATACAGCTATTGCTGACATTTATCAGATAAGGAAGTCATAAGATGAACAATCTGTCTCAAAAAGCTGAAAAGCAGAGCAATTCTGATACTGAAACTGCAAACCAGATGATGCTCTGATTGGAGGCACACACATAGATTACAGAAGTGGAATAAATCTTTAAACTTTTTAGCCTCAAATAAAATAAAATAAAGTAGTTTTTATTAGAAGTAAACTGTTTATCAAGAATGCTTTAAAGGTGACATTTATTACTAATAAACTATGTTGAAAGGTATGATCATTGGCAGAACAGCCAGAGACTTTCCTCTGTGTAAAAAATGTCCCAGCTCAGTCCGTGCTGGGTCACGAAGTACTTCCATCAGCACTAATGAAGGATGGGCAAGAGACTCACCCCCACCTTTTTTCAAACAAGAACATTTTCTTTTCTCTTTAAAAGTGAATGAGTCATGGAGATATAATGCCAGTATTATTTTGGGACTGATCGTGGATCTCAGCACGACTCCTTGGAATACCACTGAGAACAATTCCACAGCCAGCTAATGGTATCAAAACCCAGCAAAGCATCTACCAGGCAAACTCTTGATAGTGTCAGAGAGCCCCCTGCTTAGGCAGGATGTTATTTGCACTTCAACTCTTGAAACTTACGGACTGACTCTTCAGGGTTGTCATGCTCCATGTTACTTCTCATATTAATTCCGTTAAGTTACTGTGTACCAAATATTATGGCTGTCAGTGCTGAGCATGTCAAAAAACATGTCCATCCTTTAACAGCCTGCACTAGAGAGGAATATGAAGCTTCTCTCTCAAGGAACCTTGTCTGAAGTGTTTAATTTACACCTGCCCAAAAACAGGCTTACTTTGGAGACCAACTCATTCAGGCTTGAATGTTTACAGAACTATCTATCTCCTACACAAAGCTATGAAAAGTACAAGTGAATAGAAATCAGGTTGCGCTACCTATGTAGCAATTAGGAGCTCATTCAACTCCTTTACAATGACAAAGGCAATTTAGGAATTAACGATTGAGCTAGAGTTAAGCATTTAACATTCTGACCTTGTCTTTGAAATCTGTTTCATGATTAGTCCATAGTGTGTACCCCATTACTTGATTATGCACTGAAATTTTTTTGTTTCATATTACCAAAAAAAATTTCTCCTGTTATTCTGATCAGCCATAATACATTACATTATTAAAATGCGGTTGCAGGTTGTCAGAAAAATCAAACTTCTTGCATTTAAGATGCACTAAGTATTCAGGAAAATAAAAAGGTACTTAAGAATTGCTGTTAAGAGTCTGTGATAAAAATCAATGTAGCTCATGTATTGTCTAGATTATATGTAAACTGGACATTTCCTAGTACCTGTAGTAACAAATACACCACTACCCAGGCATTCTTCCTATTGATACACTATTACTGTCTCCTATTCCATTGACTTTCTAAATGCAGTTTGCTGTACAATATTGTTTTTCAGGAGATGACCCATTCATGGCCTCCACCACTGTCAGCTATTCATACACCAGGAAAGGCAGAACAAAGCAAGTTTCCCTTCCCAAACAAGGTAAGACAGGCAACATCATGTAGAACCTCCTGCACCTCAAAGTATGTCCTGCATGAGCCCTGAGTTCACACGTGAGGGCTGTGGGCTGAAGCTGACACTGTGCTTATGACCTTCTCCAGGCGTGTGCCTGTATCCCCTGCCTTTTCCCTGCTTACGGCCTCTGCAGGGCTGCACAGTCATGTTTGCTTGTTTTGCACTTATCCTGGTGTGTGTGGATCGGGGGTTCCTCACTGCGAAGTTAAACCTCAGGCGGGGCGTTCAGATGTGGTGCCTTCTGCAGGCACCTGCTTGAAGCTCCTGACTGGTGTCACAGGGCCCATACAGCTGCTGCGACTCAAGAACCTCCTGCTTCCATCCATTGCTCCTGCTCCATGTGGATTTGCTAGCCAAGATTTTTGTTGAAACCACTGAGGTCTGAGGTGGGCTTTTCTGGCCCACCTGGCCTTTGCTAGCCTTTCCAGTCAGGGGCTGAGGAGTGGGCCTACATACCATGTCCCCAACCTGGCTTTGGGGGCAGCTTTGCTGGATAGGCAGGCAGCTCAGAGCTGCGATGGCAGCGGCTCCACAGACGTATTTGTCAGGGAATTAGTTGGTCCCCCAAGACACCAAGGTCCTGCTGGTGGTCCTTTGAAACCAGGTCCACTATTGTGCATGTATCCCAGGGAGGATCAGCTGTAAAGTCAGGACAGAATGAAGTCAACTATCCTATGCTCAATTTCATGTTGTATCACCATATACTGTTTATAAGCCACAAGTGAATTTCATGAAGTCTTCAAGCTTGAAAGATAGTATTGATGCTGTTTATAGCCTTTTTTGTGTTAAAGCAAGTTCCCTTACTAACTTTTAAGTCCATTCTGCAAAATCTAGTGCACAGAATAATTATAACCACAAAGCCAAGAAACCTTCAAGATTTGCCTACAGTAAAACAGCTTTTCTGTAAATGAGACTGTCATGATTCTGAAGTACCAGGGGTGTAAACCAAAACATCTCTGGCATGTTATGAAAGAAAAAGAAGGAAATAACTCACTGTCTGTTTGCTTGTTGAAGGCAGACAGCTGACTGAAGATGGTAGGCAGGCTGGAGGCTTCTAAGTAAGAATAAGACCCATAGGAGACAGATGGATCAGCAGCTTACAAGTAGGTGGTACCTGTGCAGAAGTGCACGGGCAAGGTATGCACCTACCAGAGTATCCATGTAGCCCTCAGGAATGTGCTTCCTCACGGATAACTGTATTGTGGTAGATGCAGAGAAAGGAGAACCACAGACCACAGGGCAAAGATACATGAATAATGGTTGATGTTGACTTGCTCATCTTCTCTCTGCCTGTTCATCCATCTCTCTGTGAAATACTCTAATAGGTTGAACTGCAGAGCTGTTTGAGAGATCTACCATTAATTTTTAAAGAGCCTTTCCTATGTGGTTTCCTTTTCTATTGCCAAAGTAGAATTTCCATTTTATTTAATCTTAGGGTGGGTGAGATTTCATCTAATAATATATAAGCATCCTTTTGTACATATAATAACATCACAACTCTCTTGTGGCCTGGGTGGTGTGGGTAGTCAGACATTGAAGTCCTTTGTGTGAGGTGGGAAAGAGGTACCCAACAAAATTCACTGGAGTCCTGGAAAAATCCTGCATGACTGGTCATAGCTCATGATAATTTTAGACACCATCTCTATTTAAAACTATTTAAAAATAATTAAAAGCTACTTGGATGACTTCCTCTAATCTGTATAGTCACAGACTTTAGAAGGCTTCTGTTTTTCAGGCTTCAAAGTGCAAAAAATGGTTTCCTAATTTTTCAAATGTTTTTGAAACATTAATGAGCTAGCTGTTGCTTTTCATGAAGAATGGTGTAAAATCTTTATTGGATCTCATATGGGATGCCTCCATAACTCCTAGGAAGCTTTCCCACACATAAGCTGTGAAGCTGTCCCAACTTGTTAGAACCCAGGGACTACAACCAACTCTTGTAGATCACACGTTATTCAAACAAATGGGCCTGTCAGTCAAGTAATGGCCAGGGCCAGAAAGAGGCTAAAAGGTTATTATTCAAGGCATCAGCTTCATCTCTTAGTTCCAAGCAGTGCATGGTACCATGAATACATTTTCAATCCTTATGATTGTGTTGAGAGATCAGTTCAGCTCATTTGCAATGCCTCTTCCAGCCAGTGCAACTCCAGAGAAGCAAGTGGGCTGCAGTCCTTTTTAACAGAAGACAGTTCCCGAGTGTAAAGACACTCATCATTTTGGGAATGAAGAAAAGAGAAACTTGTAGGACTCCCGCCCTGTTGCAAGGATGCAAATCATGCTTCCTTTTCTGTCTGTAAAAATGGAGTGTCAGCATCATTAGTTCCCATGCATGCCAAGCTGCTTTTAACCTGCAACTCAAGTAATTAGTGATCTGACGGCTTGAAACTTGGAAGTTATTAATTACGCTATTAAAGTTGCAAAGGCCACAGCAACTGTAGCTAGACTGGTTTTGCAATCAGTCTAGCAGTAATACTACATAACTGAGGTTTATGTGTCACAGATAGAATTCCATATTTGAAACTGCATATGTGGATGTGTCCATTTGTATAACTATATGGTGAGTGGATGGGGAGATGTATGTGCATATGCTGTACCTGCATATAAAATCAGACCTCATTAATACAGGAGATCTGCATCACTGCACAAGAATGGAAGGAAAGTACAGGTCAGGTTTGACACGTGGCACTGCCCAGTGGGTTTCCCCAGTGCCCAGTGCTGCTGTGAGAGCACTTTAGAGGACTGTCCTTTGTGCAATAGAGGGCATAAAGTTATATTTCATCCTTAACTTTGAATTTTCTTTCTCTGTGGAATTAATTTGTACACTTTGCATTTTCTAGGAAGAAGCAATGACAGTCTCTTTATTTCTTGTTTTTTCAAAGCTTAAGGATAATTGAATCAGTGTGTGATGTGACAAGCTGTGTGTGCTTTACTTTCTCCTATCTCTGTCACACTTTGTTATGTATAAATGATCAGACATTATTTGGTTGTAATTTTATTTAAAACAACTTAATAAATAAACTTTAAATGAATAATTTAATTTGGTAAATAAGAGCTCAATTGATGCTTGTGCGAATGATCTTTCACGTTCAGACATTAATTCTCTGCTCTTGTGGTGGGGAATGCTGTTAATTCTGCTGCCTGCTTTGCTCTCTTCATTTTTACTGCAATTTCATGTCTTGAAAGTTCGATCAGGTGTTTGCTTTCTAGTTTTCTGTATGTGATATTATGGGATCAGCTATCATTTTGTTATTTGAGAATTAATTTATCTACTCCAGGAAAGCTGGTGTTTTGTCGCAAAGCTATTGGGTGATTACTGTCATCAAGAGCTAAGTTATCATAGAGATGTTATTCCTTACATGCTCAATTCATTTATTGTGAGGGTGGTGAGACACTGGCACATTCTGCCTAGGGAAGCTGCCAATGCCCCCTGCCTGGAAGTCTTCAGAGACAGATCGGATGGGGCTTGAAGCAACCTGGTTTAGTGAGACTAAATGATCTTTAATGTCCCTTCCAACCTAAGTCATTCTATGATTCTATTATTTACTTTTTCCTTTCTTGTTGTTTTCACTAAGCTGGAGGAAGTGGAGTAGGAAAAAGTCTCCAAAAGTGAAGGCTTCACCTTTAGTTTTTAAATTACATAAAGGTGTATTTTTTTCCTACCTCAGTGGGACCATTCTCTATTTTGCTGTGAGTTTTTTCTATTAGTCTTTACTATTAAGAATAATTTGTTGAGAATAAGGACACTTCTTTTAAAAAATCAGTTAAAAGGAGAAGTGAGAATGTTGGAGCTCATATGTTTTCCTGATGTCAAATTTGAGACTGTGTAGAGTAAGATGCTGTGCTAGGCAGTTAAAGTGGAGGGTGCATCCTTCCTGACATTGATGAAAACGTAAAAGATTGAGCAAAGTCCTTGTTTAGCAGTTTTACAAACCCTAGGATATTTCTGTCAAAATCATTGTATTCCACAAAACTGTTATAGGTACATAAATTCACTATTCTGGAAACTGAACATGCTCTAACAGCCTATTTTCATGGCCAGCCTGGTTGGTTACTAGAATAGTATTAAAATTCAAGCGTACATGTCACTACATCACCCCTGCAAGCTGATCCTGACCTCTTAAGATAATATTCAGTCTCCAGAAGAAAAACAGACTTTAATATCCTTCATCAGAAGCATTTACAAGGCCGAGAGAGTTTGTCAAAAGTAGACAATTTCAAATTATTGAGAAATTGTTGTTGGCATGTAAACCACAGTACAGATCTTTTCAAACTGCAGTTAAAGGTAGAAACTACTAGGGCTTGCCCGAAGGTGTGTTGTCTTGCATTTCAGGTATGTGGGATGGCAGTGAGTTGAAGACGTGTATTATAATAATGACAGATCAAAGCCATGCAGTCTGGAGAGCCTGGGCTCCAGAGCCAATGTTGCAGACCAAGGGGATTTGATTAGCGGAGTCCTCACGACCCCTGTGCCTGCAGTCCAGCCAACCTCCATTTAAAGATTCCCAGAAACTCTTGGGGCCCCCAGCCCCTTAGGCATGATACTGAGTCACTCAGCTTGGCCAAGTCAGAGCATCCTTGAGCTCTCTGGGCACTTGCAGTTTCTTTCTTGATGACCTTTGCATTTGGCTCAGCCCTCAGCCTCTGTGAACCAGGGATCTGGTCCAGAGCCCAGTTCCTCGCCAAAAATAACCATGTGTGTTGCTGTGGGTAGCTGGCCTCTCCAGGCAGCCTTTACTGCAGTTGTAACTGCAGCATATATATGAGGTGGTATTTCTTTATGTGTCTGGATTTTTTGAAAGCAGAGTTACATACAGGATACCTTCCCTGCTGTCATCTGTAGCAAAGTGCTTTGGTTTTTTTCCTTAAATGTCTTTTTGTTATACTTTATATTTCAATTTCCTTCTATTTATAGGCTTCTTTTGTTTTTTTTTTGTGAATGCAAACAAATTCTGTGAGCAAAATATGTGAACACTTGCACATGGGGGAAAAAAAAAATCTGATTTGTTGCACCATATTCATAGATATTGTGGATGGGATACAAGGCTAACCTTGTAATCTTGAGGACCCAGGACTAATGTCAGTATTTCCACTCTTTGGTACTGTCAGTATCAATATGAGAAAAGGAAAGACCATCTGTGCTACTACCTCAGGAATCCAATGGTCCATGAAAAAATATTGGTCTTCTCTCTGTCTTCTCATCTAAACTTGTAGAAGTTAATAGACGAGTTTTGGCTGATCAATAACTGATTAGTGAGCAGGAGAATCACAATCTTTATACAAGGATTTGCAACATTAGAGAGTTGTTGTGAAGTAAGTTTACAAGTCTTAGAATTAATGGATTTTTTTAAAAAAATTGATTTATTCTTTTAATTGAAAATTACTTTGAAACTGAGTGAACAATTAACAGTGCTGTTTGTTTTGTTAAGGTAATAATGTTCAAGCAAATATTGTAGCTAAAAATTGCCATAAAAATAACACAAGGTACTTTTTTTTCTATTATTACTCTAGGAGTCACAACAGGGATCTACAGGACACAACAATGCAAGTAAGTACCAACACATTTTCTGGCTGCATTAGGTGGAGGGGATGATAGTGACTATGAAAAAACAAGTGACTGACAGAGCACAAAACCATTAGTAGACCAGGACAGCGGAGCCTCAGCAGGTACTACTCAGCTGTGGTCAAATATGGAGAGCTGAACTGAGGAGTGACGATCAAAATATCAGCTCTTTGGGTGGGGGGATCAGGGGGAAAAGGGAAAAAAAAATAATTTCCTTGTGGCCGTTTCACTATGTAGATGAGAGATGCTGAAAGGGTAGAAGAGTGGCTCTTTTTAGAAAGCCCAAAAAGAGCTGACCTTGTTGCATGGCCAGATCCAGACTGCTAGAAAATTCTGCAGGAAGACTTGTTACCATTTTCATTTCACGGGCAATGATGTATTTTGTGGCTACTGCACAGTAATAAGCTACATAAATCCTGCCAAACTAACGCCAGATAATGGCTCAAAGACCATATGGCCGTGGGTTTTTTGGCTAGCAGTGCAGGCAGGGGAAGGATGTGTGCTTATATGGCTCCTGGTTGGGGCTTTTCAGTGGACTCCAGTTTACAGATCGTGGCACAGATCAGCAGCACTTTAATTACATTTAGTTGTGGCAAAAAACTTAGCAGCTGTATTGGAAGGAAAGATTGAATTGTTCTGCGAAACAAAATAATCCTCTCCCCTGACACCTCTGACTGTTGTTAATGTTGTCTTGCATATTAAAAATACATGATCCTATCCTGCTCTCCACATAAAATCATCTCAACCAAAATAACTATTTTGCTAGCTTCCTGACCTGTCAGCCAGCACAGAGCCCTGTTTGCAAATTATAGAGCTGTGACTGAAGATGAAAAATGCCCTGAGCTGGAAGGCAGGGCTTTGAAAGGGGCTGGTCACCCACTGCGTGGGGGAGAAGACATCCAGAGAGACAAGGCTGGGAGATGTAGGCTATTAAACAGTGTGGCTCTTTGCCGGGGAAAGGTCGGCGTGTGGAAGACAATGTTGTGAAGAAACACGCAGTGGTGTCACTTAATTGCTGGCATCGGTTTGATATTGCTGCGAGTCCCAGCACTAAGGAAATAATAAGAGGCAAAGGGGATGAGGCTCTGTCAGAAAATAATGAATGCAGTAATGAGAGAAGGAAGCACAAAAGGGCCATAATAGAGAGGGCTACGCAAACACACACAGAGTCACAAGCATGAGAAGCACACCAGCTGAGCTGAGGGCTTCACGGTGACATCAGAGGCCACAGTGTTTGGCCAGATTTCCTGTAGTTTCATTTGAGTATTCCCTTCTTTCAACACTTGAATAAAATAGGTTGTTCTACAGATCTGATGAAATCTGCTTTCCTGTGGATTAGGAGTCTGTCCTACCTCAGAGCTTTCCTCTGCTCCTTACTCCAATCATCTCCAACCTCACTTTCCTTCCAAGTCCCCCATCTGCCCTCCCATACCACAATACCGCCGGCTTCTTCTCATCTCCTCATTCATCCCACACAGCAAAACCAGAATATGTTTGCAGCTGGGCTGGAGCTGCACTTGGTGCTGCCTGGCGGAAACAAAGAACAGCTGAACCCATGCAGAAACAGTTTCTTCATTGGTGGCAAAAGCTAGGGTTGCTGTCAGATACCCAGACACTTTTCCTAAGGTTGCAGAGGTAATGTGACTGCCTCAAAGACCTGTATCTGTGAGGATTCCTGTCAAGGTCCTGGAATAAGACATCATGTAAGATATTTTCAGACACAGATCTTTAGCAGACCTGTACATCAAACGCAAAGGAAATCTGGGGAAAAAACTATTCAGATGTGAGGAAATGCTAACAAACAGCTCTATGTGGGAGAGAAACTTAATGGCCTGTGAACTGTCTTATCCAAAATGCACATCTTTGGAGTCCAAATGAACTGTTACTTTCCACTGCACCATGTCTTCTTTGGAGTGACTCTCGAGCTTGTCATTTGCAATGACTTTTCTCCAGCTGCAAACATTGTCTTTCTCATAGCTAACATTTGCATTTCTCTCATTCTTCCCTCACAAGGAAATCAGAGCATTTAAAACCCCCTAATGGTTGAAGTTGTACTGCACTGTCATAATAAATACTATTTATACCTGTTACTCATAAAGGGAAACTTGGCCTGGTTACGTTGAATGATTCACCCAAATTCCTACTCAGAGGAGAGAATTCCTTCTCTGGCCACCCACAATTCAACAGGGAAATCCTACAAAGTGTCATTTAAAATTTATTTTGAAGTGGGAGAAATTTGGACATGTCTCATCTGTTTGTATCTAAGAAGGTTAGGAAGTGAACTGGATGAGATGAGGCAGAAACTAGCAAAGAGTTCTCAGCTCTGTGGATAAGGATCTGAGGACTTGTGGTTTCCACCGTGTTTCTGGAGGCAAGTGTATGCACACACACACACACACACACCCGAACACAGACACACATGTATGTCCACACTTGTTTCAGAACACATACACAATGCTTAACACCTGAAATTAAGTATGCTAACAGCAGTCCCATAAAAGAGGCGAGGTGGGTAGTGTATTCTTTGTCAATTCCTGAAAGACTAAGAAAAACGAACGACAACACAAATTGGTTCACATGGAGAAGCCAGAGCTAGAGAGGATTTAGCAATTCAGCAAATGCCAGCCTCCCACGATGGTACCTGCATGCATTTGGCAGGTTACATGAAAAATGGAAAACAAATCTTAGTCTGGCCAAGAGTGAGTGCAAAAAAAGCAAGGTGTTCTGACAGCTAATTCCCTTTTACATATGCTTACCCAAAATTTTTATCTGTACTATATCTGTGACATTCAACTATGCTTAGTCTATACACATTTTTTTAAATTTCCGTGATACAGTGAAGTGAGAATAAAGTTGGTAAGAACTGATAAAGCATTAATGGCCAGATTTTCTACTCTTGATAGGCTGGACTGAAGCATTTCTACCATCTCTACAAGCTTTAACCTCCTCATCCACACAGAAGTATGTTAAGTGATAATTAGTATAAAAGCAGCTGCAAATGCTTACCGTAGGGTAATTCATTAATATCCAGTTTGACTAAATCACAGAGATTCCCTTTTCTCTCTCCTCACAGGACTTATGCTC